CAACACATGCACACATGCACACATACACAAAAAAAAAAAGGAAAAAGAAAAATAAGTAAACAAACGTAAGAGTTATTTAGCACCGAGAGTCCCCCCTTGACTGCAGTAACATTTACCTTTTTCTCAGAAATTCCAATCGATCAGAATCAATTTTCTGATAATAACTTTATCAAGTGGTTCTGTGCCCAGGCTTCTTTACTAACTTTTTACATTTTTGTAAAGAAGGAAGTTCACAAACAAGTGCATGGTGGAACACTATTATTTTTGGTTTATTTATAAGTTCTTTCATACCCGTAACATTTATTAGTTTGTGTCACTACTTTGATCTACATACTTTTTCTAGCGTGCCCTGTTTCTCTTTTAGAACCCTCAACTAAGATTAGGGGTGCAACTTGGGTTGGCCTAAGTTAATATTTTACACTAATTTGGGCTTGGGCTTTGGTCTGGGCCCATTCAAATTTTGAGAAAAAATGAACCTGAACCCACCCAAGTTGCACCCCTAACTAAGATGCACATATGTATATTTATTACTTTCTGTTGTTTGTTATTGACAAAATGTTGAGAACTACGAGTCAATATCTCTAAATAACTTAAACATGAGTGGCCACAGATCGGACAATGGGATTAAGGAAGCTGTTGACTATCGCACCATATATCCAAAGGATTTAGCCAAATCTGTTCTGTCTGAAGGCGGCTGGTCAAACTTGCTGGTATTTTTTAATATTTTTCAATTCAAATTTTTAAAATTCACGCTGCTCCACAGCTTGTTCTTCTCTCAGATTTTTCTTGAATACAAAAGTAGAAATTGAAATACTTACTTCATTGTACTGCTAACATTTAGTGCCCGAGGGAGAACCGTCAGCAACCTGTTGATATTGCACTTGTTTTTATTGGTAAAGAGGTAAGAAGCTCTCTGAATTATCACATTTTTTCTACTAAACTGTTACCCATACTATATCATACCACTGGCACATTCTGCATTACCATGAAAAAAATCTGAAAATTCGTTATGCTTTTCTCCTCAAGCATTAATACAAGTCACTGATTTTACTGTTAAAAACACCAGAAATCTCTCTCTCTCTCTCTCCAGAAAAGGGTTTCCGCCTCATTTCCTGACTAAGAAAATGCAGCCTTAAAGAGAATAACTAAATAAATAAAAGATCTAAACAGATTCATCAAAAAAAAAATGATCTAAACAGAAACTGGAGAACCTTTTTAGTGGCCACCTAGTTCTAAACAGGGCCTCTTGCATAATATCTATTAATTTATGTTCAATTGCATGATCTTACGTGTTGTACTTTAGATATTGTCTATTAAATTGCATGCATTTTCTACCTCTTAATAATACCTTAACCGAAATGAGCTTATTCTGAACCCATATCCATTTCTGACACAAGGGAGTAGACTCATGTTCAGCAATTTTGCTAGTTTGCTGACTAGAATGAGCAAGCTGTATAATCAGAACCTTATCGTATACATTATGCTTCAGGCTACTAATATTATTTACTTTCTATACCCACAGTTACAATCTTCAGATATTTCTAGAAACAAAAATGCAGATCCAGCTCTTTTAGACCTGCTCAAGGTAATTTTGATGTTTAAGTCATTCAGTGCTTTTTAAATTGTTTCTCAGCCATAATATTGAAGGCTCGAGTCCTTTGCCTTGTAACGAAACTCTATATTGCCTTGTAAGCAGGCCTCATTTAGAAGGTCCAATTTTTCAATGGCATTCCCATATGTTGCTGCATCAGTGGAGGAAGAAGTGATGGAGAAATCTCTTATTTCAGGGTTTATGGAAACTTGTGGGAATGACCTCGGTATTGGTGAGATTGCTTTTCTGGAGTCATGTTCTGTAGATGGTGGCGATCTTAAGAAACTTGCGGATCTCTCCTCAGTCCATGTAATTTAACTTGAACAAAGTTTTATGACTCAGAATGGTGTTAGATATTAGTTGTAAAGATCTATTTTTTATATTTTATAATTTTCTTTTGTTAATTGGAAAAACAGGATTATGTAGTTGCCAGAATGGAAAATAAACCAAAGAAGCAGACAGATTTGATTGTGTTTTGTCATGGATCCTTAGAAAATCTTGATCAGATTCGTTCAGAAGGTATGTTCTGAAAATCTCTACACGGGGTTGACAAGATAGCTAATCTAGAAAAACCTTTCATGGTTACTTTGCATTCCACCATGAAATACTGATTCTAGGGTGTGATCTGTTTGCAGGTGAAATATTCTCTGAGCTTATTAGTTCAGTGGAGGAGTCTGGGGCAATGTATACAGTTCTTTATGCTTCAGATCCATACAGGTCAATTAGATATACTTCTTACAAGGTACTGGAAAGGTTTCTTGCAGAAGGTCCTGTAGGAAATGGTTCAGCTAATTCGACTGCTTGTGATGGAGTTTGCAAGACTGTATCATCACTAATTGAAGGTGTTTTAGTTGTAAGTTACTCATTGCCCACTCTTTCTTACATATGGATAGTAAAGGTAGAGCTTTTTTTTTGGTTGGACATTTCTATTGTAATGATAAATGGAGAGGTTATTAAATGTATGATAAATCTATGGTTTGTCATTCTCAGAGACCCTGTCCTTTCATACTGCATAACTGATTTAATTATTTACCTGAACCTATTTGATTTGTCATGTGTATACATTTGGCAGTGTGATAATCAAACTAAGTGGGGACATTTGAATTCCTGATCTATGATCAGATTATTTGTTTGATGTTCCATAACCCAATAGGGGATAACCACCTATTTGGTTATCCATAACCTGAAAAATTAACCACTTGAGTGAGTCATGTCGTCCAATGAGTTTTTTTTTTCCTCTCTCCTTGATCTTCCAGGAAATGGTGCTGGAAAAATTCATTTAGGTTATCCATAACCTGAAAAATTAACTATTTGAGTGAGCCATGTCATGCAATGAGTGGATTTTTTTTTCTCCTTGATCTTGCTGGAAAAATTCATTTATTTGATGACTAGTTTTACCTAGTTGGGCTGATTTTTGACCTAAGGAACTTTTTTTTCTGGGCTTGTATTGGTAAGTCTTGAATTAGTTCCGTGTTTCCAGTCGAACCACAGTTGGATAATGGATACAGGGTAGGGGTTCTTTTCTGTACTGCTGGTGTTTGTACCATTTCATTTTAACTTCTGTGTCTGTTTTGTCATCTCATTCCACAATTATATTAAAAATTTAACGACATTGCCTATGGTGTTCAGGGGATCGTTTTGCTTATTATCTTGATATCAGGACTCTGCTGTATGGCCGGTATTGACACTCCCACGAGGTTTGAGGCTCCACTGGAATCTTAATGCACAGTCTAAGAGATAACTATCTTGTGCTTCCGACTCTTTTTCCCAAGCATAGGTGAAAATGCAAATGGCGTTTATTGTATTTAACATGGACAGTGTCAGAGATTGTTCATGTTTTTACTTGGTAATCCACCATGAATCCCAATAGGAGGGGTTTGATTTCATTAAAATAGAAATTCTTATTTCTTCATTCAATCTCTACCCTTGTAAGTAGGAATGCCATATTTGCTGGAGTAGGATTTGCAAGAATAAATCAAATCTATTGGTACCTAATACTTGCTTCAGTCTTTGTTTTCCGTTTGACCATATTATTATTTTTTCACATCTTCAGTCACCTCAACTGGACTTTTTATGATGCATGGGTATTGCTGACATATGCTTTGAAGTCGGGTATTGTAATTTCATGTTTGATTTGCCTTTCCTTTGTGCAAACAACCGCTGCGTTTCTTCCCGTCCAATAGACCTTTTCCAGTTTTCCTGTTAATGACTCTTGATCTCATGGTTTATTGAAACATCAGTTCCCGGTTGCTGCTGATTTTGTTGATTAGACCATTTTCTGATTTTGATGTCAAATTGGGGGGGGACAGTCAAGATTAGCCATTTCCCCTGGAGCTTGTGTGAAGCCTCACTGAAATTAGGAAGGTCGATTTGCTTAATATTGGCAATATGGATGTCAAGATGTAAGCCTTACAATTACATATGTGCAGACTCTACAGACCGGTCGACTGGGATAAATCCTGCCTTCACAAGTTTTGGGAGTTGGGGTTTAAGGGAAGTTTCACTGTTCATGGAAGTTTTACTGCAACAGTTTCGAGCTTTGTAGTTATGCACTGGAAATGACATCCATATGCACTTGGTATATTAAATTGGGAGAACGATTGTTTTTTTTTTTTTTTTTTTTGGGGGGGGGGGTTCAAAAGGAGCACAAATTGAAAAAGGGTGTATTAAATCAGACATGTATCCACTTGATTTTTTGGCTTCACTTTCTCTACTCTCAGGTTGGATTTATAGCCAAATAGCCTAAAAATAGGAAATTCATCTAATTGCTCGATGTTTTATTTTATACAAATAACCGAACCAACAGAACTTGTACTCGTGATAGAAGAATGAAAAAGTGACAAATCATTTAATAATAAGAAAAGGAAGTCAAGGCAATCTTGTCGCATAAGCATGTAACTAAGAAATAGCTTCTTACAGTCCATTTTGATTTTCTCATACTGGTTTGTTTTAATTGCCATTGATTTGAATGGTCGGACCTTCGGCTCGGAAATCGTTTAGGCAACCGTTTTCGTTTTACTCCAAACTTGGTTCCTGGCTAAAAACCGTTGAATCAGTCAATTAGTCATTGATCTGGGTGGTCAAACCATCAACTCGTCGACCCATTTAATGGTTTTTGGCCTTTTAATTTTTATGTCAGAATGGACCGTTCATTTGAACCGGATGGTTGAACCATCAACCTAGAAACCAGTAGCCAGAACAGTTTTATTTTTGGGTCATTTTTTTAAAACCGTGTGTTTTAGTGAGAGATCACATCTCTCATTTTGGGATTTGGAATCACAATATCTCTCTTCCTGTGCTACAAATTAAAACAAATACCAAAAAATGGCATTAAACAAGAATATTCCCTTTTTCTCATTCATTTCTCAACAACCAAATGGATCCAAAGCTGCTTTTACCATGTCTTATTTATTTATCCTTGAAATCACCTCTCTTAATTTAGAGTTTCAAAATATCTAAATGATAAGATTATTTATAATTGCAACATATACTTTTTCTTCTTATATGCATACATACATAAATAATGTCTCTGCCTTGGTCTACTTGCTTTGCTGAGTAAAGGTTAAAAAGCATCTCTTGGCTTAATTATGGCTTAATTACGAATAAGAGTTGAGAGTCTTTATCCTAAAACATTCCCGAGGTATATGTGATTGTTTTCCTAAAAAAAATAAACAATCATCTTTTCCTCTTTCGGAGAGAACCAAAACTGTCAAATATTTTAAAAATGGTCCTTCTCTGTATTTCCCCCCTCTCCCTTTCCCATACAATTAATTAGTTTAAATCTTGATCAACCAAATTTGCCCTTTATTTTATTTAGGTCAGAAACTAATTTAGTTTATTCAAAATAGAATTAATAAGTTTAATCAGTAAACTTTACCAAAAAGGGTAAAATGCAAAACCTCTCCTGAAGTTTTTGGCAATCATAATAACCTCCCCTATAGTTTCATTTTAACAAATACCTCCCCTACACTTTTGAGAAACTCGATAAAAATCTCCATTCCTTCATCTTCCCAGATGGAAAACATTAGATTGATGCATCGGTTTTTATTTTTAAATACCCATTCTACCCTTTTATAAATTATTTTACATACAAAATTACTGAAATAACCATATTTTAACTCAACAAAAATGTTAGAAGATGGTTGTTAAAAGGTGTTTTTTGTCAAGTTAAAACAAGGTATTTTAGTAATTTTGTATGTAAAATAATTTATAAAAGGGCAAAATGGGCATTTGGAAAAAAAACGATGCATCATCAGTCTTCCATTTTCCATCTAAGAAGGTAGCGGAAGGGAGGTTTTTGTCGAGTTTTTCAAAAATTCAGGGAAGGTATTTGTTAAAATGAAACTATAGGGGAGATTTTTGTGATTGTCAAAAGCTTCAGGGGACCTTACCAAAAAAAAAACAAAGTTCAATCAATAAGGTTGTGTTTGGGTTGAAAGAAAAAGTAGGGAAAGGCATCTCCCAAAATTTTATTATGCAACTAATCAAGGAAGAAGCTTTGTCTAAGAATTAAACGGCCCACACAGAAAGATTAGGAACATTGCATGTGTGTTTTTGTAGGGGTGTCCCCCCTCATGTAATTGCTAATTGTTCATTTTTTTAATTAATAAATAAAAAAATTGTTGCAATAGAGAAAACACATGATATCATTTTACACACACACATACTAGTAAACATGTACATGACAATATCTCTAAAATGAAATTATTTACAATTCATGAGCAGTTTTTGAAATAAGTGAACAGTTTCTTAACTGTTATAAGTGATCAGTTTTTGGAGTGAGTAAAGGACATATATGTTATCTTTATGCCTGCTATATGCTGCTTAGATAAAGGGTAGAAAATGTCCAATGAAAATTCCAGAAAAAGGAACATTCACACTGAAAATGTAATCGCTTATCTTGTCCAAATTCAGTCAAATGGTTTTATAAGTTCAAAATCAGACCCGAAACCATGACTATTTCCCGGTCAAATGGTATGGCAGTATAATCCGGTCCAGTTTTCAAAACCATGTCTTCCATAGCCGTGTCTAACTTTTTACCTCATGCCTAACCTTCCACCATCATAGAATCTGTAACCACTAAAACAAAACTTTCTAAGATCAAAGGTTTGTCCAACTGTCCAATGCTACCCAACACCTTAATTAAGTCTAGACCTGTTCATGGGCCGGCCCGGCCCAGCCCGACCCCCGGATGGGCTTGAACATGCTTATAGGTCCGTGGGCTTAAATTTGGGCCAAAAAGCCCGGCCCGCAATAAATTCGAGATAGGCTCGGGTTTTGTCAAACTAGTCCGGCCCGAGCCCGGCCCGACCCGACCTAATATTAAACTTAAAATTAGTTATGTGATTATGTCCATTTGAATAAATTTTTTGATTTAAGAATGTAAAATTGTGTTTTAAAATATAAAAAAAAGGGAAAAATACCATCTTGTAGGCCCATTGTTCATTTAAATAGAAAAAAATACTATCTGAATTTTTAATTCTAATTTGAATAGGAAAAATTGTTTTTTTTTTTTCAATTAGGTCAGGCTTCGGGCTCGGGCTCGGGTTTTGGGCTTTTTACCAGGGCCGGGCTCGGGCCCAAGTTATAGGCCCGTTGGTCGGGCCAGGCTCGGGCTCGGGCCTAGTATATTTTCATTAGTGACAAGTGAAAGCCCGGCCTGAACCCGGTCCGACCCGGCCCATGAACAGGTCTAATTAAGTCTGCATTAATTTATCTCAAGGCAAAAAAGGTAAAAACGTAAAAAGGATGGCTGAAGCTAGGTTGGGTTAGTGCTCATTTGGGTGTACTGAAGTATATATTTGGCATCGATCCGGATTTGGTGAAAAATCCGAGAGCTCAATCAGTCAATCATTATAAGGGCCGTTGGCTTCAATCTCTTTGAATAAGCATATTTAAAATATATGTTTGGCATTGATGCACCATTTTGATGTGTGGGTTGGAAGTACCGTTTTCTTAGAAAATAGTGTCTTTTTTTTAGTTTGAAAATATTGCTGTCAATTAGGATGTTTCGTGGAGCAACAATAATGTTTTCTGTTTGGTACCAATTCTTCAGGAAACGTTTTCAGCACTGGTACTCATTATCCATTGCTTCTGCTATGTATATTATCTTACATCAAATGGTGGAAAAAACACCCTATTTCATCCTAAGGTTCCACTTGTTGAATAGACTATAAAAAAAGAAATTCAGGAAATCATGATGGTAAAAAATCTAAAAACTACATGGAAAAAACAGAAAAATTCATACATTAAAATAGAAAAAATTATAGACAAATGAAAAAATATAGAATAAAGTATGAAAGCAGAAAATTGAATGAAATTGCATGAAAAAAAACAGAATATTTATATTTATATGTCTTCGTTTTATTTCTTTCACTGTATATGTTAACCATGGAAATATACTGATATCTTCCTTGGTTATAAAATGCTAGGCTTTTAACTTATGACAGAGATCAGTTAATAGATGAATGCCAATCACTTGCTTGGTTATAAAAGACATTCTTAATTATTCCTCTGTTCTTTTTTTTTTACGTTGTCAGTTCATGTTATATGGTTTCAGAAAATGGGTTAATCTGAAATCAAAGTAATTCAATTTCAACAACAAAAATAATGAATTTATATATCCTAAAACATATAAGAGTTTCAAATGGATCCAATGGTGAAGGAAATACGATTCTGTTTTTCCAAGTGATGAAAGAGCAAATATCACACTAATCGACCAAAACATGATCTCCAGTGACCGAAAATTAGAATACACAAAAAAAAAAACTAAAAAAAAGAACTTGGAATGTTTGAAGAATACAGACCTGGTATCTCCAGCCACCGAAAATTAGAATACACCAAAAAATAGAAAAAAAACTCGGAATGCTTGAAGAATACAGACATGGTATCTCCAATGGCCGAATAGATGGTGATTGAAAAAAAGAACTTAAAGAATACAGATTTCTGATGAATGAAAATAAAGTTCGGTGACTGAACAGATGGTAGAGCTCTAGATCTTTGGCGTTATGTTTGATTCTCCGGTGATTGGCTACGCGGGTAGACCTCTAGTGACTGGTTGCACTCGACCTCCAACAACTGAAAAAAAGCAAAAGAAGATTAGGGTTTGTTAAAAGTAGAGGAGAAGCATTTTACGATGCACCATATCAATTCAAATAATGACCACGTTAGATGCCATGTCACTATCATCTCATGTCCATGTTGGTTGCAACGAGTTGCAATCCAAGAAAATGCTAAATCCGACATTGCTCCAAACCATACTTTCTCGATTTCTAAGGCATGGCTTAAAGCACCGTTTTTTCATGAAAAAATGGTTCCA